GAGCTCCCATCAGCCCCTGCAGCCACAGAGAAGAGGAGGCTGCTGATTGGACGATCAGAGGAAGATGCTGATTGGACGATCAGAGGAAGATGCTGCTGCTTTCAGCTGCTTCACAGTGAAACCAAACAGCAGGTTGTTCTGGGTTATTTTACTGCTGCTGCTAATTAAGCGTTTTCTGCTTTACAAGCTCATTCACAGTTTATCAGTTTCACTGTTTCTCTCCCAGACGAAGCCGCTAATCGAACCATGACTTTTAACCCAAACAGTTTGGCACCCACTAGAAGAACACAGTGAAATCTCTTTGCTAATAGTCAACAGAACAAGTTTGTAGTGACTGCAAAGATACCGCCTAACACTGAAGCATGCTAACATTTTGTCTTTATAATCATTAAAAATATTACATTTTTCATTTAGCTGCTGTGCAGCCAGCCATATTATAAGAGATTATAATTACAGAAATGTAATAATAATAGGTCATTATCTAGAGTGGACTGATATGAGGCAGGAAGTACGACTCGAGTCCTGGACAGAACCATCCAAGCACTAACAAGTCAGTGCTTGGAGGTGCTATAACTTTTTCCAGATGAACAGAATTAAACTGAAGTTATCATTTCTGGACCTAAAGAGACATGATCAAGTGTTAGCACACAGCTTGAGTTATTATAGGTAGAAAGTAGAAACCTCAGTGTGATTGCTGTAAGGCTTTGGGTGAAAACTGCAGAAGCATTGAAATCAACTGCAGAAAACTTGCAGAAATGTAAGAAAAGGAAGAAGCAGCAGAAAAAGTCAAAAGTATTAAAAGTATGCAAAACATGTATAGAAAAATGTTGAAGAGGACTGAAAGCTTTCAGTCAGTCCTGAAATGAGTGAGCATTAGTGCGGAACACTGATTACAAAGCTAAACTACGAGTCACATCAATTTATAAGCTAAAATGAGCGAAACAGCTAAAGCTAGCTGAAATACTAATAATAGCACCTGAGCTAGGACTAGCATGTATCCCTACATTAACATAGTATGCAGTGTTGGAAAAAAACCTAAAGCCAACTTTAGCTAAAACGCTAAAGCTAGCTGAAAAACTAATGACAGCATCTAAGCTAGCACTAGCATGATGAGCTAATGTAACATTCTCCATGCATTGTGAAAAGTAACATGTAAAACAGCAGAAAAAAGCTTTTAAAAACCTAACATAAAAAGGATAAAAATGAAATGGCCTGAACAAGGAGCCATAATGTTTGGTCATTTTTTCCACTGGGAAACCAGGTAAAGGGGAACCTTCGTGTCCCGACGGGACATTCTTCGCTGGATATACGATGGATTCTACATGGAAGTAGAAGACCGTGTGTCTGACGATGCCGTCAGTCGAGGATGTTGAAGATGTGTAGATGATTGGAGTCATGATAACAGGTTTTCTGCTTATTGGAGCTGGCGGATACCTGGCTTATCGGAAATTTCGGAAGATACCGGTGGCAGTTTTGGCCACTTCAAGGCTGCTGGGTCCGGTTGATGGGATCTACAGAGCGATCAACACTCAGACTGAGATGATACGGGAGCTGAGCGCAGACTGGGTGTGATCCTGGAACAGGACCGAGGCCGGCCAGCGGATCTCGGACTCAGAATGGATGACCTTGGAGAACGTTGTTCGCTCGGATCAGGCAGGAGACCCTAAATTCGGCTGCTTGGATTTGCCATTGAGAAGCTCCAGCAAGGCTTTCGATGCAGACAGTAAACGAATGTCAGCCTGACCTAAACAAATTTCTGCTATCCGAATCTGGACCCCGGGCTGGGCATGGCTGGCCAGCTGTCCTCCCCTAGTTATTGTGTCTAAAGAAGGCTCTGTTCTGCTGCCCCCCTCCCTGGAACATCTGTGGCCCTGAACTGATAAAGCTGGTGGTGAACTCCAAGGGCGTTTAGTCACGGTGAATCGCATTCTTCAGTTAGGGTTCATGGTCTGACACACATAACTCACATGAGACCCATATGCATGTCACACCTCCTCCTCATACCTGGCTTGTTTTGTCTAAATGTGTTTATATGTGTTTAAGTGCCGAGGTTTTTTTTTTTTCATCTCAAGCTGCCCTGCAAAGAGCAGAGTGTGAGGCAGGTTGGTTTTTCCTCTCCTTACCTGATGCTTCTCTTATTTTTTTTTCTATTTCCTCCTGCAGGGCGGTGCCTGTCAGGCTGCGAGGACTCAGCCAACTATCCCCCCGTCCCGTCCCCCCACCCCCTCGTGTTGTTATATGATGGATGGTTGTAACTGAAACTGCAATTTCATTGTCTTTGTGACAATGACAATAAATTATTCTGATTCTGCAATCTGCCACCAGAGGGAGCTGTACGCAGCGCTGTTTAAAGCTGCTCTGTTTAATCACTGAACATTGACCAGCTTTACGGCTGAAGCATGAAACTCTCCAACTCGTGATTGTAATTCTCAATTCTGTCACAAGAGGGAGCTCACACAAGAGATGGGAGGGCTCTACATTAACTCACCTTTCTATGTTTTGTTCGTGTCAAAGTAACTGAGAGCCAGACACAGTGACACAGGACCTCACTGACAAATATGTAACAATAAGCAAGAAACATCTGAAGTAGAAGAGCTGCTATGTGGTCATTCTGTATTCTACCACCAGAGGGAGCTCTGAGGCGCTGTTCAATCAGCGACCAGCTGCTGGACACGATCAGCAGAACCAGAACCTCAATGAAGGGAAACGCAGCTCTGGAACCACAGCAAACATCTCAGGAACCGTAAAGGCTACAGACGCCATTCACACCGTTTCTATCAGAACGAATACAGGAACACTTCTGTCCTACTCAGTTTTCTCAAAATATAATATTAAACGCAAAATGTTTTGTCAAAATTGATAAAAGAACACTGAATACCATCTTCACTAGGTTCCAAACTGTTTCCTCTATCTCAGGAAATATAAAAACTATCGATGTGATTCCTTCACCACAGACATCAGGAAGGACCAGAAAACAATCATGCCTCGTTTCATGCATGTTCCTTTTTCTGTCTGTGAGCTGTGATGATGTAAAATATGCCTGTTTGCAACTCTTAGTCAAGATTTATGACAAAATTAACAAAACTGAAAGAAAAGAATTAAGTTTGAGCTTCAGGAAATTCATGTCAAAGTTTGTGTCTTTGTGTCGCATCGTTCAGGAGATAAGATGTTATAAAGCTGCTTTCTGTTCATAAACCCAGTTCTGTGACGACTCGATGCTTTGAGGTGATTTCCCAGAAAACTGCAAGTCTCACATCAATGAGCATTACACCTGGAAGTGTCTTAGTGTTGAAAGGTGCTGCATCAATTACGTTGCCTTGAGTTGACTTGTCATAATCTCTGATCATGTGGAGGTTTTTGTTCAGGCTGAAAGAATCATTTCTCACTGTGGGAACCAGACTTCCTACAGCCGCAGTAGTAGGAGGCTGAGTGAGTGAGCTTCACTGCATTAATCTTCAACAAACAGCCATTCTGAATATTTTCAGCGGAGAAATCATCTTGCTGAGGATGACTGAAAGGCTTTTCTGTTCTACCAGCACTGGTGATATAGAGAATAGCTCTGAAAGTTTCTGGGTCTTTCTTCTGGTACCAGACTACAGCATTTCCACCACACTGATCAGTTCCTCCACAGCTGATGGAGACGCTCTCCCCTTTTCTCCTGGTCAGACTTAAATCATCCTGAACCAGCTGTGTTGCCATGGCAGCCAGTGCTGTAGAGACACAGACAGACAGGTGAAGGTTAGTGTGACAGTATTTGTTCCAGGTGGACTTTGTTGGCTCCTGATTGGTGGAAACACTCACCTGAACCCAGCCAGCACAGAGCAGCAGCTGGGAGGAAAAGCATTGTGTGCAGTGGAGTTTCCTCTGGTGAACCTGGGGAGAAGTGGAGCTCTGATGCAGCTGAGGCCAAACAAGGACGAGCTGAGAGATCAGACCAGGGCCACGTGGTTTCTAGCAGAGGAACCAGAGCTCCCATCAGCCCCTGCAGCCACAGAGAAGAGGAAGCTGCTGATTGGATAATCAAAGGAAGCTGCTGATTGGACAATCAGAGGAAGCTGCTGATTGGACAATCAGAGGAAGCTGCTGATTGGACGATCAGAGGAAGCTGCTGATTGGACGATCAGAGGAAGATGCTGATTGGACGATCAGAGGAAGATGCTGCTGCTCTCAGGAGGTGAATTTATGAAACTGATCCTCTTCTGGAAACAACAACCTTAATAAAATTATACATGATGTTTCCTGATTCTGATCCATCTGATGGCATTATGGATTATTAGACCAGTATTGCTGATCAGAATTTTTCCAATATGGTAATAAATGACCATCAGTCGGCTCAGCCTCTCTCTGTAGAAAACTCTCAGTAATGAACATCAAGTTAAACCAACTTGTTTTCTGTCTCTGGTTACAGTTTCATGTTCACAATGGAAAGGAAGTCAAATATGGACTTTTCAAAGTAAAACATTAAACTTCCTGTTATAATGGGGCAGATTTGATGATGTCAGCATTTGACCAGTTATTGTTGTTGGGGATCAGAGGAACAGCAGGTTTCATCCCTCTCACTATCTCTGTAGGAGTTATAACTTTTATTTTTTGGCACGTAGTCAAAGTTTGAGTCCAGGCCAAGTTTCTCCAATAAGCACAAAATCTCAAGATTTTGATAATTTTAGATCCCCCATGTCCGAGGAGAAAACTGACCAATTTTCAAACCAATCAATTAAAACTTCTAGAAATTTGATAAAATGCAGAGGTTACAAATGGACAAAATTAGGTTAATATCGCTAGTACAATCCAAGATGGCCGACTTCCTGTTTGTCACAGAGCATGGTGGAGGAATCTTTCTGTAGTTCCTGGGAAGTTCAACAAGTTTTCCAAACTTCATGTCTGCATGATTAAAAATAATCTGGTGAGTCAGTGGATGTTAAAGTTTCCAGGAGGCGCTGTTGGTTATTTCAGCTGTAACTTTTCTGAAACCATTGAAATACTAAAATTTTATGGAACCTGATTAACTTGCAAAATTTGATTAGTTTTTGTCAATAATTACACCTCAAATAACCCAATT